ATTTGCCTTATGAGTTCATCAATTTAGGAAAGCACTAATGTCTACATTTTTCAAGCCCCGGGATAAGCAAGGGCCTCTTATATATCAGTGATGACTTGAATATGTTCTAATATTGTGTGTTTTAGTTTCATGCTTCTTTTAAGCAGGTTGGGACGCCATCTAACTTTCTATCAAAGGAACCCATAATATAAAGGAACCAAGTATTTGACCATAAAAAACAGACTTGATAACAGGGAAGCAAAATGCCTGGGACTCACTTCAGCTATTGGTTCATGATTTCATGAGTTGGGACTGATTAGATGCCTTTGAATATAATGTTGTTGTTGATGTCTAATGGTCAGTTCTTTTGCCAGCTTTTCTATTTAACCTGCTCGCGGATATCACCTTGACATCTCATTGTAGTTGCTATGAAGCAATGGTGATATTCCTCTCTAACTATATTGGGACATCATTTCAAGTAAGGGAATCAACAAAGTCTATTGATTCTCATGAATATCTTACTTGGTTGGCAGCTTGCAAATATGTATTGTACATGACTCTCCTGCTGTCCAAACGTGTATTGTTCATGGCTCTCTTTATCCTACTATTTTCAGTAGAGTAGTATATAGTTTGAGTTCCATCTTAAATAAAAAATAAACATGTTCTATTGACACTGTACCAAAACATATTGACATGGTACCCGGTATTGTTTAGACATATGTTTTGTAGATAATCATTATGATTGTAAGTTGTCTTGCATAACAAGAATGTAAGTTTTTCACAAACTATATATGATGCTTGCTTTCTGTATATAATTTTTCATTATTTTGGTTATCACTATAGTGCTTTTTTTAGACAAAGACTATTGCTTATAGATGTACTAAACACGGATATATTTCCTGCGGCGTAGCCGCGGGTATTGATACTAGTCGTTATAATGGTGAGGAAGACGATGAGGAAGAAGATGTTAGATTCATCGCCAAGGTCGCTGAGTATGCCTTATCCCATGGGACACAGCATCTAGTTTTCGAACTGACAGGTGTTTGGAGTTACCAAAAAGAAGACATCTGCAAGTTCTCCAATTTGTTTGGCACGATCTCGAATTGCGACCTCAAGACTCTAGTGCTAGCTGGTGTCTGCATCGATAGTGGATTTGGGTATTCTCGTTTTCAAACGCTGACGACTTTAGATTTGGCAGGGTGTTGGCTAGCTTCTTATCAGAATGGGGCATGCGATCCTTTTTCCAACTGTCCAAGGCTAGAGAATTTGGTCCTGAATGGTTGCCGCCATTTGGACCGTAACTTTTTTGGGGATGAAAGTGTTCTCAAGATATTTGGACCGCAACTGCTTAGCCTGTACATGGATAATGTACTTTGGAACTCAGACGTGGAAATATTTGCTCCGAGACTCAAATACTTTGATCTTCACTCTGGTTTGAATGCACTGAGTTTATCCAAGTTAACCTTATCTTCCCTTGATCGTGCTTTTATTCGGATATATGAAGATTATGGGATTTACGACGAAGCCTATTTCATGGAGGGTAATGAGGAGTCTGTGATACGTTTGTTGGCTTTGTTCCAAGGTTTAAGTAATGTAACCACTCTCAGGCTGGAGCCCGGTACCATCAAGGTACTGTTTTGGTTTACATTGTCGTGATTTAGATTCCTTATGTGAATATTGTCCTGCCTTTGACAAATGTTTTTGTTATCTGCAGGCATTGAGTAGGATTAATCCTGAGTTTCTGGACCTGCAATCTTCTCCCTTCACAAGATTGAAGACCTTAACTGTGAATGCAGACAAACTGCCTTACTTACCGCTTACTTACTTCCTCGAAGGATCTTCTGTTGCGGAACCAACTATCGAGTTTGTATACCGTGATAGGCGATACTGTCCCTTCATTATAGTGTCTGCTTATCCCACTTGAAGATGTCATGCAATGCATTCCCCCTTGTGTCTTTCGCTAAGGACTTTGTTCGTACCGGCGGCTTCATGAGTTGCACAAATCGCAGTTCCATAGGCTGCCATATGAAACCAAATCTGCCAAGAAGTTGGTTGATGTGGATCGGATCAAATTGGGTGTTGCTGCATCATGCATTGTCGGCCATCCTGGAGTTGCTGCAAAATTCTCAGGGTGTTCCTCTTTGGCAAGTATAATTGGGTACTGCTCGAAATTTGAATCGAATTAGTGGTTGGCCTTACGCTAAGTAGGTGCAACATTTATTACTTCTATCTGGTAGAGAACTCTTGTGACTCATGTGTAAGGTTTGCCGCAGAAGTAATGTAAACTCATTTCTTTGGTTTTGACATGGATATAAAGTTGATATTGAGGTCGTACAATTTTGGAACCCTGCTGTTTCTTATTTGCTTTGCCTGGATTAGATTGAGGTGGGGTTTTTTTTCTAACTAAGAAAGATTGATTGAGGTGGTTTAACTTTAACTTGTAAAGATTGCTGAGAATATCTCAAGCACATATTCAATTTGCTGCTGATGGACATGAAACAATTTGAGGAGAAACTCGTTAATAAATTTTAAGAATGGAAGCAATGACCTTACAAATAGCAACTAAGGATATCCTCATTCGTACATCTATTACTAATTTCTCGATACGTGAAATGTCTTGCTTCAGACTTATAGGCATTTGAATAGTCATGTTGCTAGATTATGGTGGGACAATTTAGGGAATGCGGGTTGGCTGGGTCTATTGGAAAAGTCTGACCCAGGGTAAGTTTCATGGTGGCCTAACCAAGCTTTATTTTGTTATTAATGTTGGTGGATTTGGATACATTCAGAGTTGTTGCTTGCACATATCTAGAAAGAGAGGTGCTTTAGACGACGCTCAATATTTCGAGACCTCAGTAGGATCCAATCCATTTTGGGATGACGTAGTCTTATGCTTGGATGAGATGATACCTTATTTTACAAGTTTTGAGGTGGCAAGTATGGGACGACCATGACATTGTTGCTTTCTCAAATAATTGGGTGCCTTCTGTCAAATCCAAATTTGCAGTTAATTGAGAGTCTCTTTTTCATCAAGGAAGTAAGGGGTGAAACAATGTGATTCCAATTGATCAATCCGAATAACACGATTAATTACATGCGAATAAGGATAAATTTGCCAACCGTGACCATACCACAAAAAATTGTTGGTTAATCGCTAACCGCAACTGTTGCGCGACCGATGAAGACGAAAGGTAGAGGAGGAGGAAGCCTGGAAGTGGAACAATATTTGCTCCGGATGGCGATTAGAGGAGGACGAAGGATAGACTAGAGTGTACTCGACTCAACATATGACAAGACAAGGATGGGGGACTGGATGCTAGAGCTAGGCGGGTTGGGCAGATAGTTGGGTTTGGAGCTAGTCCGCCGTTATTGAAAAAATTATCAACTATGGTTGAACCGAGTTTTAGACGACCTGACATTGGCAAATGGGAGGGAAAATATCAGTTTTGTCCCCTGATTTATTTCTCAAGGTCTTGCTAAAGTGAAATTACTAGAGTTATTTGGCTATACAAAAGAACCAAAAAAATTTATAAAGTGGATTTATTAGGGATATTTGAGAATTTGTGTTGCCCAAACCAAGGTTCGACTCTGGTTGACGGTTTTGGTATGAAAATTTCAACAAAAAGGCATGTTTGATCATTTTCCCAAAATACAGAGGCATGTTTGATAAAATGACATAGTAGAGGGTAGGGATGACAATATCGACCTGACCCGCCTAGGCATGTCAATCCAACCCGTAACCATGGGTACCCTACCCGATCGTAACCGGTCAACGAGGGTAATTACCCGCTTTGACGGGTTAAGGGGCGGGTACGGGTAATACCCGGTTTCAAAATAAAGGGTAGGGTACGGGTATGGTAATTGATAATACCCGCCCCGCTAACCAAAGGGAGTCAATTTCCCTTGAGAAATTTAGTTTAGCTTGAGAAATTTAGTTTAGCTACCATTATTGATGATGAAGATGTAGACGATTATTATGTTTGTGTGAATTGTAGAAGCAAGAACAATTATTATGTTTGTGTGGATTGTAGAAGCAAGAGCAATTATTATGTTTTTGTTGTTTTTATTTGTGTGGATTGTTGAAGCTAGAACAATTAGAAGTATTGAGAATTTTTAATGGACAACAATATGTATGTGCATATATGTGTATAAGTTCATAGTTTAGGATTCATACCCATGGTTACCCGAATACCCGTGGTTACCCGGTGGGTAGGGTATGGTTATATAATTTTCATACCCGGTGGTTATTTGGTCGGGTATTTTAGAAGGCTCTACCCGGCGGGTTAGGAGTTGGTATAGGGTAAACCCGCACCCGACCCTACCCATTGCCATCCCTAGACCCGCCCCATTCTCGACCCGTTCTTGCCTAAATTAAATGTAATCTTAGTTAAATTACTTAGGATTTTTCATTTATTACACTATAATAATAAAGTTATAAATTAGTGAAAATCTCAATTTCTCTAATAATTTAACTACATTTATCATAATATTATTTGTTTTCTTGGTCTTATAATAAAATAACGAATATTTTTCATATAAATTGCATACCCATTGGGTCGACCTGCCCCGACCTGTGACCCGTGATAAATTACCCGATCTGCCACGGAGCGGGTCTGGGTACCAAGAAACCCGCCCCGCACCTGCCCATTGCCATTCCTAGTAGAGGGGCATGGACTTAATTCTCGAAACAAAATAAAAAATAATCATATATTTTTAAAATAATTTTTCCAAATAAGAGGTTTCACTTTTATTATAGACACTTATTAGTTATTCAAAGGCCGAGCTTATACAGATGTATAGTCCGGCTTCAATTTATGAAATTTAAAAACACTTTTAAAAACCGAGCCTAAAGCTATTGTGGACTATGGACTTAATTCCTCTTATTATCAGGGCCTACTTACCATAGTCAAGTCCTTCACAGCCCAAAACGAAATGAAGAGAAATGAGCCCTCCAATTCTGTATTCTTCTGTAAGGCTATTTCTATGCCATCCTCCTCCCCTCCGCGACCTTAAGATTTTCGCGCCTAAAAACGAAACCCTAAACTCGGTGAATGTTCCTTCAGTCGGCTAATCGGGTCAAATGGCCGTAGGTTTCTAATCTCACTCGACTTTCTGCTTTATCGCGGCTGATCCCGTGTAACTCTGTCCCCGCGGGATACGACGCGAAGACTTCATCGAGCGGAGGTGAATCCCAGTTCTCTGATTCATGTTCTTGCTCAATTCTGGTTACTAATCCCTTTCAATTTCTCGCTTATAGGTGGAATCAAGTTCATCAATAGCTGCCTGCCTCCAGTGGAAAGCCATGGACAACAGCAGCGGGGAGTCGGGGGAAGCTGTTAAAAGTCGCAGTGTAGGAGGAAATACCACCACTTATAGTGACAGGTTAAGCCATCTTCCGGACTTCATTATTCATCATATCCTTTCATTTGTCGACACCAAATGCGCTGTTCAAACCTCAGTATTATCGCGAGGTTGGCGATACTCTTGGAAACATGTCCCTGTTCTCATTTTGCACAATAGTTCCTTTGGACAGTACTCGAGTTTCGAAAGGTTTGTAGACAATGTATTGTCCCTCCGCCATCCCTTTAATGTGCGCGAAATGATCTACACCGTGATTTATCCTCCAGAGGAGGAGGAGGAGGAGGAGGAGGAGGAAGGAGAAGGAGGAGGAGAAGGAGAAGGAGATAGTCAGTTTGTCAAGCTCATCAAATATGCTGTATCCCATGATGCTCATCGTTTAGTATTGAAGTTGTTCTTTATCATGGTTCCCGAAGACAGTTACAGATTCTCCGATTTGTTTAGCACGATCTCGAATTGCCGCCTCAAAACTCTTGAACTATATGGTGTCGGCATCGATAGTGGATTTGAATCTTATGGGTTTCCAATGCTGACAACTTTAAAACTGGGACAGTGCCTATTGGCGTCTGATAAGGATGGGGTATTTGATCCTTTCTCAATTTTGCCGTGTTTGGAGAATTTGGTCTTGAGTCATTGCAACCATTTGGACCGTGGCTATCTCGGGCATGTAAGCCGCCTTAAGATATCCGGACTCCGATTGCTTAGGCTGAAATTGGATTCAGTTTGGTCTACTAGCTTGGAAATATTTGCACCAAGACTCAAGTCCTTCCGTTTTCACCATGACATGGGTGAACTGAAATTCTCCAAGTTAAGCTTTCCTATCCTTGATCATGCTGTTATTCAGATTGATGATGAGTCCAGTTTCATGGAGGAGGACAAGGAACGCCTGATGGACTGTGTTATCACTTTGTTCCAAGGTTTAAGTAATGCAACCACTCTCTTGCTGGATTCCAGAACGGTCGAGGTATTGTTTGGTCTTTATTGCTAAGTGTACCTTCATTAACTATTGCCTTGCGATGTAAATTGGTTTCTGTTATCTGCAGGTACTAACTATTATCCCTGAGATTATTGAGCAACGACCCTCTCCGTTTACCAGATTGAAGACCTTGATTGTGAAGGCTGATAGTGTACCTTACACACTGCTTAATTACTTTCTTAAAGGGTCTTCTAGTACAAAACCCACTCTTGAGTTTGTATGACGTATTGGTCAACCATTTTGCTATAGTTTTCGACCATTTTGGTGGGTTCTTCCCCCTCGAGTCATTCAGAATTGGGCCTTTCATTCGTCTCGATATTTCTCATACATGCCTGCTTGCTTAAGAGCAGCATCATTCATTCATTCGTTCGCTTTGCAACATTCTTGCACTTCAAGGTTCAGATATGTTGAGTTGCAGTCATGTCAGCATAAGTGGAATTTATATTGCAATACAACAACTTCATTCCTGATCGTGTTTGTCAGGAGCCCTTCATCTCTGCAAGTTTTGGTGTTCCCTCAGTTATGGAATTGTGTTGATAATTTAGTTGTATCTCTGACCTCTTGGCATGCTAGGTAAGAAGTAATTAGAAGCGCCATGGCATGGTTATTCTGCTGAGTCCGAAATTTGAAACATATAATTTGTGAGTTTCTGTGTGACTGTTTCCTATAGATGTGCATAAGATGATTTATGACTATGAGTTTCTGGAACAACCACTGACTTCATATTTTGAAGTCCTTAGCTGTTGCATCGAGCAACAAAATATGAGTATAATTTTGATTACATGTGAAACATTGGTGTTTGGGGTGCAGTTTTTTTTTTTTTTTTTTTTTTTGTTACAGCCTCAAATTTGTAACTTGTAAGTACTTTGTGGTTTAGTACTAATGAAATTCATAGAAACGATAATGTTAGGGAACATCCTCTTAATCATAGATTATTCCAAAGAGAGTGACTTGCTTAGAATAACTACTAACAAATCAAAGGGGTTAATTGCATGGTTGGTCATTGAGATTATAAAAAATGTTCAAGCTTGGTCACTCAAAATATTTATATTCATTGGTGGTACTTCAGTTTACTGAAATTGTTTACGTTTGGTCACACCAATAAATTTAAATATTTTGAGTGACCCACTTTGAACGTTTTTTATAATGTCAATGACCAAGCATGCAATTAACCCCAAATCAAAGACACACCTCTTAGGCAAAATGGAATGGTCATGGGAGGTTCAAGTAGAGGTTAGGAAAATGAGTTGGGCTTGTAGGTTTTGGGTTTCAAGTTTTATAGTTTGGACAACTGGGCCTGTTTACCATGATCCAATTACTCACAGCCCAAAAGGAAATAAACAAGGAAAATAACCACATTTTCCTCGCTTTTCCAATCACTTTCATTTTCTGAAAGCGTCTCTCCTCTAGAGTCTAGACCTCTAGTGTTCCATTCTCCAGCCCCATCTCCATGATCGTCGTCCAAACTTCAGCCCCGGCGCATAAAAATGAAACCCTAAATCCTGCGTTGTGTGGAATGCAGCGTTCCTTAATCTGATCAAATGCCCATAGCCTTCTACTTAACATCCAAGTTTCTCCTCTATTGGATCGCAGCAGAGAGCCGATTGGTTTGCAACTCTGTTGGCGCGGAATACGGCGGCAAGCTTCCGTCAACAGTGATCGAAAACAGGTGGATTCCTGTTTCTTCTTTCTATTCTTTCTCAATTTTTGTATCTGAACCCGTGATCCCTTTTCCATTTTTAGGGTAGAACTGAATTGATCAAATAGACAAGCCATGAGCATCCATTGTACTTGCTGCGAGTTGGGGAAAATGGGAAATAGGCGCAGTGGGGAAGAAGATACCAGCAGTGCTGACAGGTTAAGCCATCTTCCAGAACCGATTCTTCATCACATCCTTTCATTCCTCGACACCAAATCCGTGGTTCAGACCTCGGTTTTGTCTCGGGCATGGAACCGCTTGTGGAAACATGTCCCTGTCCTTGATCTACGCCGCCTTTCCTTCCAGGAGTATGCGAGTTTCCAATGGTTTGTGTATATGGTTTTGGACCTCCGGTATCCTCTTAGTCTCCACAAGCTGAGCTACAGGGACAACTACGAGTGGTATAAGCAGAGCGGCGAGGAAAGTGAGACGTTTATCTCGGAGTTTCGAGATGTCGCTATGTGCATCGAGGTCATCCAATATGCTTTATACTTTGATATTGAAGATTTACTGATTGACCTGGACAATGAATACAAGGACATCTATCAGGGTGACAAGTTTACGGATTTGTTCGGCACGATCTCGAACTGCAACCTCAAAACTCTAGACCTAACATACATCTGCATCAATGACGGTCTTGGATCTTGTGGTTTCGGAGTGCTGACAACATTAAACTTGCGACATTGCTCTTTGGCTTCTGATCAATACGTGGACTTCTTTTCTAACTTGCCCTCTCTGAAGCATTTAGCCATGAGTGTTTGCCAACCTTGGGACTACTCCAACTCTATCGAGGATGATAGGGGTCTTAAGATATCTGGACCCCAATGGCTCAATTCGGTGGCTTGTTGAGCTAAAATCGTATATTATGAGCTGACTCGATAGTATTACTAGCTAGCCATGTCAACTAATAACTTATGAACAAATCGATTAATAGTTTATCATTGGCTTGTTGATGATACATAAGTTTATTAGATTATATATCTTAGGACATATTATCTTTAAGAATTTGAGCACGTAATCGAATATGTTCCATTTATAAAATTCTCTAATGTATAATAATTCTCATATACTGATAACTATTAAATAACATGATATGAAGTAATTAAAAATGATCGATTATGATATGATACCTGAACTCGAGGTGATTTTACGAGCTAATTGATAAGTCGAGCTCGAGTAGAGCTTGTTCGCTCAGTAATGAGTCGAGTTCGACTTTAACTCGAGTCAAACACAAGCCAAACTTTTTATAAACAAGTCGAGTTCAACCTCAACTCGTTTATTAACAAATCTAACTCGAACTAGAACGAAACTCGACTCGGCTTATCTCCTGAACTAACCCTGCCTAGAGGATGAGCAATGGAAGGCTTGGGAAATGGAATGCATTCTTTCGAGTAACTGGGCCGGTTATTCACAGCCAAAAATGAAATAAAGAGGAAGAAACCAATCTCTATTGCCAAGTTTTCCTATCAGAAAGCTCTAAGCTGTAATAAAAGCTTCAAAGCCATTTCTCCGCATCCTCTCCCGAGATTAAATTTCTGTGCATACTTCCTCACTTCCAGTGAAACGCTGTTCCCGGCCTCTGGAAACGAAACCCTAATTTCGGTGAAATGCAGACATTGTAGTCCCTACAGGCTACATCTGATTTTCTGCCATAATACGGCCGATTGCAAAAGCTATGAACAACGACTGTAGTAGCAGCCCCGAGCTGGGGAAAGATGGAAAAAGGCGCCGTGAAGGAGAAGGTGGAGATGCTACAGCTGACAGGTTAAGCAATCTTCCTGACTTCATTATTCATCACATCCTTTCATTTCTCGACACCAAATCAGCGGTTCAGACCTCGGTACTGTCACGAGTTTGGCAATGCGCTTGGAAACATGTCCCCGTCCTCAATGTTCGAAGTGATTCTTTCCAACAGTATTCTAGTTTTGATAGGTTTGTGGAGAATGTTTTGTCCCTCCGCCACCCCTTTAGTGTCCGGTCGATGAGCTATGCTGTGTATGAACACGAGGAGGAGGAGGGCGAGGATGAGGAGGAAAAGAAATTTGCTCAGTTTGTCAAGGTCATCAAGTATGCCTTATCCCATGACACTCAACAGTTGGCGTTTACGCTGTCCTATGTTGGGGAGGCCGAATACGGTTACAGATTCTCTGATTTGTTTGGCACAAACTTGAATTGCAGCCTCAAGAGCCTAGAATTAGGGCATGTCTGCATCGATAGTGGACTTGGATCTTCTGGTTTCCAGATGCTGACAACTCTAGAATTGGTACTGTGCCTACTGGCTTCTGATCAGGATGGGGAATTCGATCCTTTTTCTAACTTTCCATGTCTAAAGAATTTGGTCATGAGTCATTGCCGCCATTTGGACATTGACATGCACGGGAATGAAAGGCGCCTCAAGATATGTGGACCCCAATTGCTTAGTCTGGAATTGGAGTTAGTCTCGTCTTCAAACATGGAAATATTTGCACCGAGGCTCAAATTCTTCCGTCTTGAGCATGACTTGGAATCTCTGAATTTCTCCAAGTTAACCCTTCCTTCCCTTGATGATGCTGTTATTATGATCAATGATGAGGTCGAATTCATGGAGGGTAATGAGGGAAGCGTGAGGCAAGGTGTTGTCTCTTTGTTCCAAGGTTTAAGTAATGTAACCACTCTCCAGCTGGATTCTGTTACCATCGAGGTATCGTTTTGGTTTATTTTGCTGTAATGAAGTGTCCCTTCCCTGAATATCACCCTTACTTTGTTAGTTGGTTTCTGTCTTCTGCAGGATTTGAGTAGTATTTTTGAGTTTCTGGAACAACAGGCCTCTCCATTCACAAAATTGAAGACCTTGATGGTGAAGGGTGACACCGTCCCTTACGTGCTGCTTAATTACTTTCTTAAAGGGTCTTCTAGTACTGAAACAGCTATTGAGTTTGTATAACGTAGTGTTTAACCTTCTCGCCCCAGTTTCTGATTTGCGGTACGCAGTAGTTTAGTGGTTTCTTTCTTTTCAAGTCAATTAGGAACGGGTCTTTAACTCGTGCAAGTAATTCGAGAAACCTACTTGCTTATTTTCGCTGCAATATGTATAAACTTCAGATATCTTGAGTTGCTGTCAAGTCAGCTTAATTGGATTTTGTGATTTCAGTCCTTTAACTTAGCTCTTCGTTTGTTATCTGCTTCATCAGATCAGTAGCCTTCCATCGCAGAAAGGTCTGGCCAAATGTTCGTGCTGAATTTTCACAGTGATTCCTTCAAACAGTACTCTAGTTTCCAAGAGTACATGGTATAGTACTGTGACAATGAGATTTCGAAGGAACGAGATGGTGATCTGTTTGGCAAGGCCACCCATTATACGCTGAGCCATGATACTCAACAATTAGAGATCGATATGTTCAATCATATGCTAGCTAGCATCCAACCCAGTTGCATCTTCTCCTTTCTGTTTGATGTGGTCTCGAATTGCAGGCTCAAGAGTTTATCACTCGAAAGTGTCATCACAAACTGGCTTGGGGCGGGTGATCAAGGATGAGAATGAGAGATTTGTGAGAAGGGAGACTGGAGATGGGAGCTTGTGAACCCATAGAAGCCGAAGCCAGAGCCATGCTCACGGGAGTCCAAAAAGCTTCAAAGTTCAGCTTGCGGCAATTAACTGTGCAAACGGACTGTTTATCTCTTGTTGCAAAGCTGAAGGGTAAAGATAAACGTTACGGAAGTGGGGTGAGAATTGGGATTCTTCGTGAAAGCAATTGGAATGCAAACTGACGACTTTATTCATTGGATGAACTCAAACTTTATACACTGGACACTCAACCGAAAGCCTTCAGGCTCGGCAAAGACACTCAAACCTAACTACTGAATCCCTGGAGATCAGCTCTAAGGCTAACAACTCTGTTCTGCCAACGATAACCCCTGCAACGGCTAGTTTAGCCCAGCTGACCACTACTGACACTTACATAAACAATAATGACTAAAACAAATAAAAACCAAACGACACAGTCTAAGACCACACTTAACACATAAGCCTTCAACGACGCAGTTTTGATCCCAGCTCTTTTTCCTTCTCCATAGCGGATTCGGATTCATCAGCACACCAGCATCTTCATCAACACTTCAGCTTCTTCAACAGCCTCCCCTGAACTGAAGCCTGTTTCAAACAGCTTCAGTTCATCAACCTTCAGATCCTAACCCAGCTCCATCAACCAATCCAAGCTTGCTTCGTAATAATTGAAATGTTTCCAATTTCAAAGGCTTGGTCATTATATCTGCTATCTGATCTGCAGTACCACAGTGCTCCAGCTCTATTGTTCCATTTCTAGCCAGTTCACGCAAGAAATGAAAGCGAACATCTATATGTTTGCTCCTGCCATGCATAACTGGATTCTTGGAGAGTTTGATGGCTGAGCTGTTGTCACACAAGATTTTGGTTGTTCCTTCAACACACTCCAGCCAACCCATTTGAGTCACAATCCTCTTTAACCACACACACTGAGCTGCACAAAAAGCTGCAGCTACAAACTCTGCCTCTGTTGTTGATAGAGTGACAACAGGCTGTTTCTTCGAGCTCCATGAAACTGCTCCCCCTGCAAGAAAGAAGGTGTACCCACTGGTACTTTTCCTGTCATCCAAGTCTCCAGCATAGTCACTGTCTGTGTATCCAATCAAGTTGCCTCCTTCTTCCTGTCTTTTGTACAGCAGCCCAAATCCCAGTGTTCCCTTCAAGTATCTTAGCACCCTCTTTGCTGCAAGCATGTGCTGCTTTGTAGGCTTGTCCATATACCTGCTCAGCAAACAAACCACATACATAATATCTGGCCTTGTGGCTGTTGCATACAACAGACTCCCAATAATCTGTTTATACTCAGTTGCACTTGCCATGATGCCATCACCAGCCTTTGACAGCTTAGTTCCTGGAGCCATAGGGTTATGAACAAAGTTGCAATCTGCAAGATGGAACCTCTCGAGTACCTCACTGATATACTTCTGCTGAGAAATAAAAATGCCAGTTGATGATTGAATTACCTCCACTCCCAAGAAGAATTTCATTTTTCCCAGGTCTGTCATTTCAAACTCAGCTTCCATGGACTCCTTAAATTCTTTCAGCATCTCAGAACTGGTGCTGGCATAAATTAGATCATCAACATATACACTGACCATTAGCACATTCCCTTCCCTTCTTTTCACGAACAAGGTATGCTCAAACTCACACCTTTCAAATCCAGTGCTAAGAAAGTAGGCTTCAATTCTGCTGAACCATGCTCTAGGAGCCTGTTTTAGTCCATACAGAGCCTTTTGCAGTTTGTACACTTTGCCTTCTTCTCCAGGAACTTCAAAGCCTCTTGGTTGTTCAATGTAAACTTCTTCTGTGAGTTCTCCCTGCAAGAAAGCACTTTTTACATCTAACTGATAAACTGTCAGATTGTACTGTGCTGCAAGTGCCAGAAATGTTCTAATTGTGTCCCATCTTGCAACTGGTGCAAAAACTTCATCATAATCTACCCCATACTTCTGAGCATATCCTTTTGCCACCAGTCTGGCTTTGAACTTGTCAATGGTACCATCTTCCTTTAGTTTAGTTCTGTACACCCACTTGACTCCAATTGGAGTGACTCCTTCTGGTTTATCAACCAGAATCCATGTAAGATTCCTTTTGATAGCTTCTATCTCCTGTTGCATAGCTTTTCTCCATTTTTCTTGAAGTACAGCTTCCTCAAATGAACTTGGATCACTGCTGACAGCAGCTAGAGCCAACCAGTCAGTCTCAGCAAATGCTAAGTCAGGCATTCCTCGACAATCAAAGCCATCAAAGCGTCTTGGAAACTTGCGAGTTCTTGGTCCAAGTTCACTGTTGATTGGAAGTCCCAAAGCATCAGTCCTTTCTTCTTCTTCTTCTAATTCTGTGTTGACTGGTGTAGTTGGTTCTGTAACTGCTTCAGAACTTGTGGGATTTGGAGTATCCTGATTTGAACTGTTCTCAGGTTCTTCTTCAGTTTCTTCTCCAGTTGTCACCTCAGCAGTACCTTCAGTTCCCTCATCAGCTTGTTCACTTTGTTCTTCCTCCTCTTCTGAATCATACCAGGCCTCTTCTTCTCCTTCCCATATCAGTCTGGTGACAACTGGTTCTGCTTCCTTCTTCCAGATCCATCCCTCCTTTTCATTGAAGATCACATCTCGGCTAATGATGACCTTCTTTGTTTCAGGATTGAACAACTTGTATGCTTTGGATTCCTTAGATAGCCCCAGGAAGTTACACTTCACACTCTTGTCATCTAACTTCTTCCTCAGACTGTCATGAACATGGGCATAAGCCACACAACCAAACACTTTGAGATGATTCACAGAAGGTGGTTTTCCAGTCCATCTTTCCTGTGGTGTCTTGCCATCATTGGCTTTAGTAGGGCTTCTATTTAGAATGTGTGTAGCCCATTCAACAGCCTCTGGCCAGAAAGATGCTGGAACTTTAGTATCTTCTAATGAACACCTGACCATGTTCATGATGGTTCTGTTCTTCCTCTCAGCAACACCATTCTGCTGAGGGGTAAGAGCTGCAGTCAATTGCCTCCTGATTCCTGCTTCTTCACAGACATCTCTAAATTCATGCAATAGAAACTCTCCACCTCTATCAGTTCTAAGACATGTAATGGTTCTGCCAGTCTCATTCTCTACTTGAGCCTTAAAACGTTTGAACCAAGCTAGAGCCTCTGATTTTGCAGATAAAAAATAAACCCAAAGCTTTCTGCTATAATCATCTGTAAGGGTCATTATGTACCTCTTTCCTCCATTTGAGCTAGGAGTAATAGGCCCACATAGATCAGCATGCAGTAACTGGAGTGGTTTGATAGCCCTCCATGCCCCTTTCTTTGGAAACTTGGCTCTGCACTGCTTGCCAATCAAGCAGGTTCCACATACTTCAAGTTCACCAGTCAGCTTTGGGAGTCCTTGTACCAGCTCCTTCTGTTGCAATTGAAGCAGGCCACCTTTGCTCAGATGTCCAAACCTTCGATGCCAGAGATTCAATGTATCAGCATGATTAGTCTGCAAGCAGTAGTTTCCTTCTTTAGCAACACGTTTTGCTTGCAAGACAAACATCCTGTTTGACTTCATGGATGTTTGGAGCAGTAGACCATGCTGCTCATGATAAATCCTGCACTTCCCATTCTTGATTGTGAACTCCAGATTCTTCTCCTGCATCTGTCCTACACTTAGGAGATTTGACTTTAGGCTAGGAACAAAGAATACATTCTGGAAGACAAGGGGAACTTCATCAACTTGCATTTTAATCGTCCCTTTCCCTTGAACCTCCAGTATGTTTCCATTTCCCAACTTAACATCACTTTTGAAGCTTGTATCTAGCTTGATGAACCAGCTCTTGTCACCACACATGTGGTTGCTGCATCCACTGTCCAGGAACCACCAATCATCATTTTTCTTCATGACTTCTCCTCTTGGAGTTTGCTCCTCAGAATAAGCCATCAATAAGACATCATCCCTGATATCATTAGGACCCCAGCTTGAATAATGAGCCTGAGATTGCCACTCTGGACATTCTCTACTGTAGTGTCCCATTTTGTGACACTTAAAGCACTCAATCTGATCTCTATTCCAGATTCTTCCTCTTCCTCTTCCTCCCCTGCCTTGATACCCAGATCTGCCTCCCCTACCTCTACCAAACACTTGTAAGGCCTGTTCTTCATCAGGTAGGGATTTTGCAAATTTCTGCTCATGAACTAGCAGAGAACTTTGCAGGGCATCTACTGACAACTCATCAATGTCCTTGGATTCTTCAATCGAACACACAATATAATTGAACTTTTCAGTAAGTGTTCGAAGCACCTTTTCAACAATCTTAGTGTCTGTCATGTCTTCTCCGCAATTCCTCATTGAATTTGCGATGACCATCACCCTGCTGAAGTAGTTGGTCACTGTTTCTCCTTCTTTCATCTGCAGCAGCTCAAAGCTTCTCCTCAACCCTTGCAGATTTGCCTTCTGAACACGCTCGTTTCCTTGATAACGAGTCCTCATTGAATCCCACAGCTGCTTGGAAGTTGCTTTCTGAGTGATGGTTTTGAGAATGCTTTTGTCAATCGAACTAAATAAATAGTTCTTAGCATTCAAATCTTTCAGACGCGTGACCTCCAGAGTTTTTAACTGAGCTTCAGTTAATTCAGCCGATGCATCAGCTTCTTTGAATCCAGTCTCCACAACACTCCACAATTCTTTGGATCTGAGCAGATTTTCCATCAACATGCTCCAGTGATCATAATCCCCATCAAACTTGGGAATTCCCACTTGAGCGAAACTGTTTTCACCGCCACTCATTTTCTGCTCTTCTTGAACTCCCTCACCAAAGGATCCTCACTGTCACTCGTGTTTCCCACAACCCAGGATCGATCTCTATTTCACACAGCTCACACTTTTGATAAAACACTCTCTGGTTACAGCTTGCGAATGCTCTGATACCACAATGAAAGCAATTGGAATGCAAACTGACGACTTTATTCATTGGATGAACTCAAACTTTATACACTGGACACTCAACCGAAAGCCTTCAGGCTCGGCAAAGACACTCAAACCTAACTACTGAATCCCTGGAGATCAGCTCTAAGGCTAACAACTCTGTTCTGCCAACGATAACCCCTGCAACGGCTAGTTTAGCCCAGCTGACCACTACTGACACTTACATAAACAATAATGACTAAAACAAATAAAAACCAAACGACACAGTCTAAGACCACACTTAACACATAAGCCTTCAACGACGCAGTTTTGATCCCAGCTCTTTTTCCTTCTCCATAGCGGATTCGGATTCATCAGCACACCAGCATCTTCATCAACACTTCAGCTTCTTCAACACTTCGGCCACCAAACCTTTTCCAGTTTGGAAAGGTTATATTTAATCATTATCATTAGAGGTTTAGGAATTGTCTGGGATGGGTTTCCGCGGGAAGGAAGTTGGGATTTAGCTATTTAATTATCTATATTAAGTTAGCCGGCCAAGTAACAGTATAGTTGGCCGTGGGTTTCATAGAGGAGGCTGATTGCGACGGCGGAGGCGACTTGCTGTAACTCTGTCGGGGCCGGTGATACAGCGGTAAGAGTTTCACACCCTGTATATCATAATCCACGACTGGGGAATTATGTCTGTTGATTCTGTTCCTTGCTCCGTTTTCTGGTTGCCCTCCAGTAGAAAGCCAATGAAGGACGACAGAAACAGCTGCGAGTTGGGGAAAGCTGCAAAAAAACCTCGCATTGAAGCAGAAGATACTGCTGACAGGTTAAGCTCTCTTCCATACCTCATTCTTCATCACATCCTAGAGTTTCTCGACACCAAATCCGTCGTTCAAACCTCGGTATTGTCCCGAGCTTGGAGAAGCACTTGGAAAGAGGTTTCCGTGCTCAATTTTCAGAGCGATTCATTCGATCGGTATTCGAGTTTCCAAACGTACGTGGACAAGGTACTGTCCCTCCGCCATCCTGGTGTTCTGAGCGTGGTAGAATACAGTGACAATGAGAATAGGGAGGAACGAGATGGCGATCTGTTTGTCAAGGTCATCGAGCATGCGATAACCCATGATACTAAACATTTAGTGATGGACCTGTCCAATGGTAAGGAATTCCAACCTAGTAGTGCGTTCTCCTTTTTGTTTCACACTGTCTCGGATTGCAAGCTCGAGAGCTTAGCACTCCGTTGCGTCATCTTGGACAGTGAGTTCACATCTGCCGGGTTCCGAATGCTGACAACGTTAACTCTGTTCAACTCCTGTATGACCACGCCTGGAATGGGAGACGTCGACCCTTTTTCTGGCTTTCCATGTCTCAAGCATTTGACGCTGATAGCGTCTATAGGCCTCGATTATTTCGAGGATGTCACCGCCAGTTTCAAGATATCCGGATCCCAATTGATTACTTTGGAGATGGCGATTGTGACGTCATCCAAGATCGAGATATGTGCACCAAAACTCAGAGACTTCGGACTCCAACACGACTTGGGATCCTTGAATTTCTCCAGCTTAATATTACCTTCCCTTAAGCATGCTGAAATTGGCATAAGTGATAAGACAAATCGGATGGAGGCTGACAAGGAAAGCATGGCGAGAAGGTTGATGTTCTTGTTCCAAGGTTTGAGTGCTGCAAAAGGTATCCTGCTGCATTCCAAAACCATCCAGGTGATTCTGTCGTTGATCTCGTCATATAATCTGGAACAGTTTACTTTTATCTCCTTAATTGCGGCTTTTTTAAGATGATTTTTATGCTTTGTGTAGATATTGGGCACCATTGATTCGGCCATTCTGGAGCAGCAACGCTCCCCCTTCACCAGATTGAAGACCTTGATCGTGGAGGGTGATGCTGTGCCGTACCAACTGATAGATTACTTTCTTGAAGGGTCTACTACTGTCGTCGAACCAACTCTGTATCGCGTAAAAAGTATTGGTGAAACCATTTTGGAATAGATATACCTTCTGATTTGGGTACGCGGTTGTTTAATTGTGTGATTCTGTTTCCCTTCAGGTCGTTTTAGAATAGGTCGTAATTCTTAGCTTTAGGTTTGTTTAATTCATAAGACCTACTCTTCGATCATGCTATGTAATGAATTATTACTTATTAGGTATACATGTACCTAGTCTTCGATATGCCTTAATTAGTGTTTATGATTTTCCATTTTCCAAGCTACCCGACAATCCGCGGCCCCTCCTCTGTCCGGTGTTGTTTTTGATTTCCTGGAGAAGAACCTCATTCTTCTTTTTAGGGATGGCAATGGGTCGGGTTGGGTCGGGTTTTGCCAAACCCAAACCCAAACCCATGGGTTTATCTTTGAAAAAAACCCGGGGTAAAACCCATTGGGTTTGAAAAACTCAAACCCAACCCAACCCGTTGGGTATCCGCGGGTTCATGGGTACCCACGGGTTTTGTCGTAAAAAATTTACAATTACAAGTTCTTATCAAAATTAAAGTCAAATATCAATTTCTCAATACAACTTATCCATATATAAAACACCATTCTAGAAAATTCAAGCAAATCACAAATTAACTATACAAATTGTTCAACACCAATCTAGAAAACTCAAGAAAATTGAAGCAAATCACAAATTATCCATAAATAACATGTTTAATTGAAAGCTTCTTCCTTTCAATTAAGTTTCTTTACTCTCCACTCCATAACATCAACTTCATTCTACACAATTAAAAAGAAAAAATTAGACATGTCTCCACAAACATAAATAAGATTAGTTGTTTAGAATATTAAATATACCGAAAAAATTAATTATATGGGTGGGCGGGTACCCACGGGCCGGGTTTACCTAAACCCAAACCCAACCCAACCCGGTGAATAGTGAACGGGTTTAAACCCAAACCCGACCCAAAACCCGTCAACACGGATTTTACCCGCGTTGACCGGGTTGGGTCGGGTGGGTACCCGTGGGTTCGGGTTTTGTTGCCATCCCTACTTCTTTTGTAGGGATGGCAATGGGTCGGGTTAGGGACGGATAGTACATATCTGTTACCCTACCCAATATAGTTCGAGTTTTACCCATACTCATATAATAAACCGGTAAAAAATCAAAATCATGCCCATATCTGTTCGGGTTTCGAGTATTCACGGTTATCCATGGATAATAATTTATCTTCATAACTCCAACTAATATATTAACATTCACACATATTCTCACATTACTTAAGAGAAAAGGTACGATAATAATTCACTAGAATGAAGAAAATTAATTAAAACAACACAATTTCATAAAAATATTATATTTATATGCTAACTATAAAATATGTTGAGAAAAATAATGATTATTTCTAAACAAAATACATATACATGTGTATAATCGGGCGGGTTCGAGTTGGATAGTGAGAAACCCATGCCCACCCATTACCGGCAATATTCAGGTTCAGGTTTTACCCATACCCAGTACCTACTAAAAGTTTTTCGGGTTCGGGTTTATCCTACCCGATTAGGTCGGATTCGGATGGATATCCACGGTTACAGATATTTTTGTCATCCCTACTTCCATGGTGTGAGTGAGTGTTCTTCACGCTGTGTATGCCTCTTTGATTAGTTATTGTTTCAGGTTCTCCTCTTTCTAGATTATGTAAAACTCTAAACTTCTTTACTAATTTAATTTAATTGAATTGATGTCACCATTGCCCTACAAAAAACTTGTTCTACTAAACCGACATGAATTAACATAAATGGCATACCAATAATCAAACCATTAACCGACATAAACCGGTTAGAGAACCCTACTTGCTCGCCAAACCATCGAATACGCGGGAAGTTTTAGTGGCTAAATCAGAAGAAATGCGGGAAAGGTAGAAATCCTTGAACTTCGATTTTTTCGAAATTGCTTTTCATAGGTTCATCCGGCGCGGAGCCCAACACTTGGGGCCGGGGGAATGAAAATTCGCCGGAGCGAAGCAAAACCTTGCAACCAGACTGGCTTGAAAACTGACGCAGCTCAGAAAGGTTTTGGAGGCAAAAGGAAGATCATTCACAAGAGGGGCGAAAAATGAAACCAAAGGACGGTCCAATTAGAGCTATAGGCCAGAGATCCATTACTTCTTCCTTCGTTTCCCCCTCTTCTTCAAACCGCCGGTAAGCGATTTGCCGGAGCAGCACGAGTGGCCGCCGATTTACTTCCGGCTGTTGGAATTCTTCTGTTCAACGTTCGCGGTTAACAATTTCATTTGTTGTACACTTCAGGAACGAAATCAGCACTCTGGATTCCGATGCCGCCGGCGAACTGAAGAAAGACGGTGCGGTGAGTTCTTCAAAGTTGTCGCTCTCAGATTTCCTCAACAAGAAGCTGCACAAAACTGCCGTTGTTCGCTCCAGATCACTGAAGGTGTGCTTCTTCCTTCCTTTTCTCAATTCACCTGCAGTTGCTATCTATTGGCAAATCGCTAGGGTTTGCTTTGGCTTAGATTTTGCGAACTTATTTGAGATTGAATTGAAGTTAAGGTTTGAATTCTGTCTGCTGGACTTTGTTATCAGGGTAAGTCCCAGCCTTTTCTATCGCCGTTAGGTCGTATAACCGAGAGCAGCGTTAGTGGGGGCTCGAAGGATGACAAAGAAGAGAGGAACTCCTCGGTCGTAGTGGAGGATGAAGTAGTGTTTCAGCTGTTTAAGAAGCCTGCTGTTGGTGAAAAGGGAAATGATGATGCTGATTCATCGAGTAGATTTGGCACAATCGGGAAACCAACTGATTCCAGCAATTCGACTGGTTTAAGTTCATCTGAACCAGATTGCTCGCCCATAACAGGTACATAAAAACTGAGACCTTTTGGATGAACTGTTTCAAAATATATCTACTATGTTTCAGTTTCTTCGTAAGCTCTTTTGCTGTCAAAATGCTAGGAACCTCCAAGAGACAATACATTTCTATGTCCTTTTTTTCCCCCTCCTTTTTGGCAAGATAATGAATCTCGACAACCCTTTTCCCCCGAGGACTCAAGCTTAGTTAGGAAATGATTGTGACTTCGCAGACCTGGCTTTTCCACAGTGCATGTCTCTTCCCGTGTAAGAATGCAATTTGAGTGTATTCTGTTAAGTGTTACAACTGAAGTTTATTCCAGCTAGCAGCTGCTGCTTGAGTAAGCTTATGCCACAGCTTACTGCAGTTTGATGTGGGGTATTTTTGCACTTGAAACTTTTCATGGGGTTGTTAAAGAATCCTACTTGCCTGCTTCAGTGTTCGTTAAGGAATGACTCAAAAGTTATGAACTTTGCCTGTCAAAGCCTATATATAGCTGTAGCTTCCATCCTTATGGTCCATGACTAAGCAAATGTTTATCTTACCAGGGTTACAAACTTGTGAGCATATAAAGCATGCTTCCGCTGTTCCTAAACTGCCTTTGGTGCTAGGGGATGATCAACAAGACAGAAACAGGGCAGCTGAAGATAGATTGAACAACAAGAAAAAGCGGAAAAAGGTCTACAACCATTGTGAGTAGATGTGGAAATGACATATATTTGGAGTCTTTCCTAGATGGAATCTGAAAAGGCCTGTGTAATTTCATAGTTTCCTAGTTTCCTTAACTCTGCTTCTCTGTGCTTTGGGCAGATGCTAACGGCTCCGGTTGGTGGGACTGCGACATGGAAGGTGTTGATTCGGAGGAAGTAGGATTTGGTGAGATATGGGAAGGTGTGGGATCTACAACGTTCGGTGGAATAGAGTGGCACTAATCCTGTCTTTCTTTATTTTAATCTCAGCTCCAGTAGTTTTTTTCTTCTTAGTTCTTACTTCACTGCTTCATCTGATTGCCTTATTTTAAGGCCATGTCACTGAACTAGTTTATATTTTCAGTGTTAGTTACTATGGCCACTTCCTTCATGATCCATATCATACTGAGTTTAGTGAACTGCTGCTGCAAATGTAGTTGGCTAGTTGCTGCATAAACCATAAAGAGTGCAGAGGGGTAGGGGTGGAAATCGGTACGGTATCGGTATCCCAATACCAAATACCGAAATCCCGAATACCGAATTACACCCTAAAATCAATCCCAATCCCAATCCCTAAATAATTTCGGTATCCCAATCCCAATCCCTAAATAATTTCGGTATCCCAATCGGTATTATCGAATACATAATTAATTACCTTTGCAATTAATAATTAAATATATAAATGAGATTTTATTGTTTAATTTAGATCAAAGAGACTAAGCAAATAGTCTTGAGTTGCCTAGAGCTAACATCTTAAGTTCTTGTAATTGGTAATTTTTAATTTGACGAATTTGAGGTTGAGAGATGACTAATACTAGTATGAAATAGTGATGTAATGATCTATGTATAATTAAATGACACTTTTGGTGGTTGAGGGTCGCGTAGTATTGAATGAGAGAGTCTAGTTGGGAGGATAAAATACACACTAGCTTATATTTCGGTATTGATCGGTATTTCGGTATATACCGATCCCAATCCCGTAATCCCTAATACCGAATAACAATTGAAATTCAATCCCAATCCCAATCCCACAAAATAATACGTGTATTCGGTAATACCAAATATAGACAAATTCGGTACGGTATTCGATATATACCAAATACCGGTACCAAACTTCCAGCCCTACAGAGAGGGTAATGGCAGAAATTGACAGGAAAATAGCAATAAAAAACGGTAATACCAAATATAGACAAATTCGGTACGGTATTCGATATATACCAAATACCGGTACCAAACTTCCAGCCCTACAGAGAGGGTAATGGCAGAAATTGACAGGAAAATAGCAATAAAAAATTATGGGGTGAGAGAGGCTCGAACTCTCGACCTCAGGATCACTCTTTAGCTATGAGACCTACGCGCTAACCAACTGCGCCACCACCCCTTGTTGTTTGTAACTTATTGGTCTCTATAATTAACATATGTCCACATCAATAGTAGATTTGGATTTTATGGCTTTTGAAGGCTGAGGACTTTACATTTGAAAAGTTGCTACTCAGGTTCTTATTTGGCTAAGGACTTCGAAGCTGTATGGATCCAATTGGTTAGGGCGTAATTTAACTGAGTGTCATGTTACAAGCTGGAAATAATTACTATGAAATCCTTATTTTAGATCCTTCAACATGATTTCAGAAGATTAGAAAGTCTACAATCAACTGTTCATTTCCTCTATTATTATTATTGTTATTGTTATTTTTTTTTAATTTTTTAATTTTTTGTTTTTTTTTTTTGTTTTGAGGAAACATTTCCTCTATTATGTTGATATCCGGGTCATTGTCTCATTTTTTTTTTTTTTTTTTGACAAAAGGCAGTGCTTTTCCATTAATTTTGGCTGAAGCCAAAAGGGTTACAGGAGGTGAGAAATGACATCAAGTATTTGAACTCATTGGCTGGGCAGTACATTTTTTGCTCGAGATCTCGCCACCCAATTGGCTTTAACATTCTCAGCCCTTTTGATATGTGAGATGTTGATCCATGGGTGTTCCTCAAGTGCCTTTTTGATGCTTCCAATCCACGCTGAAGCACGCCATGGCCAGTGACTCTGGTTCCCTTGTATCGCCTTGATGAGGTTGAGGCAGTCCGATCGGATCAAACATGGGCTGTTGAGCCTAGTAGCCATAAGCGTTCCTTCCATTAGCGCTTTTGCTTCAGCTTCAATAGGTGAAAAACAGTGCAGAGGCTCAGCTACCCCGTCACACACTTGTCCATGGTCATTCGTGACAACGACGCCATACGCCGCCTGAGATGCTTCAAAGAAAGAACCATCACAGTGTATTTCAAATTCATGAATACATGGCGGTGGAGTAGGATGTTCCGGGGATGGGGTTAGCTGAGTGAAGGGGGAGGAAGAGGATGGACTTTTAGGGCAAGCTTCCCATTGCTGTGCTTCCAGTCTGGCCCTAGAGTTGGTAGATGGTGGCCATGGGGCCTTACCCCTGAAGATGAACTCGTTCCTCGTCTTCCATGTCTGCCATAACAGGAAAATGACCTTCTGGATAAGACTAATAGAGTACCTGGTCTGAAGAGAGAAAAGCCACTCCAAAATAGGGGTGGAGAGTGGGGGTACGACCAACTCTGGCCAATCCTGCTGCCATCCAGCAGCCGCGTGCGGGCAAGAGAAGAGAGTGTGATGGAGAGATTTCGTTGGGTCCGCACAAATAGGGCATGCTTTTGACGGGGAGCATCTTCGGGAGAAAAGGTTCTCCTTCGTTGCCAGAGCCCTTCTGGTGCATTTCCAAATGAAGAACTTCATTTTGGGAGGCAGGGAAAGACTCCACAGCCATTTCCACCTTTCCTTGCTGTTCGTATCAATTGCATGGTAGTCCTATTCCCTTCGAAAGGTGTTGTGGAACACTTGGTAGGCTGATTTCACTGTGAAAACTCCATTGTCCGTGAATCTCCAAGCCCAAATATCCTCAAGAGACTCGGGGCCGATGGGGGTAGCAGCCACCTGTTTTAGGTCCATAGGGCTAAGGTACCCTCCCAGGAGGTCAAACCTCCAAGCTCGATTGATTCCATCAATCCACTTATCGACCGTGGATTCATCAGGCCAATCGAAGTCAAGCAAGCGACCTGGTCGATCAAACCTCCATGGATCTTGGAACATTCTTGTCGCCTTGCCATTGCCAATTACCCTAATGATGCCCTGTTTCATCCATTTCTTAGCTTCACAAAGGCTAGACCAAATCCAGGACGCCTTTCCACCTTTCTTGGCGGATAAGAAATCCTCCTTGGGGAAATAAATGCTTTTCAATACCCTCACCCACAGGGCTTTCGGGTTGGTAAGGATTCGCCATGCCTGCTTTGCCAACAGGGCAAGATTGATCGTATTGAACGGTCTGAAGCTGAGTCCACCCTCCTCCTTTGGGGAAGGCGCGGAAGGCGCGGGACATTGTTTCCTCTCTTTTCTTCAAATTCTAAACAATGCAACATCTCTCCTGCTACATTGCTACACCTTCGAGGCAATTTTGGCTATTCTCCTTATAAATTTAAGGGTTAATATCTTATTTTGGCCCGAACTATGACCATATAATCAACTTTGGCCCGTGGTTTCAGAAATTAACATCCTGGCCTCAACTATGCAGCATATAGACTCAATTGGCCCGACACATAGTTTGACCGTCAATTTGGACGGTCAACTTCGTTGACCGTTAGTCAACATGCCATGTCATTGCCTAATCAGCCTAAAAATCATTAAAAAAATTTAAATTCAAATTATTTTCCTAATTTCTATTATTTATCATTTTCCAATTAACCAAAAAATAAAATTCTAAAAATATAAAATAATTTTTTTTGTGATATTTGAAAATGATGAATTTTATAAATTAACCAAAAATTATCAAATTAAATTTTATTAATTAAAAATTATGATATAAATTATATTTTGGTGGGAAGTTTTAAAAATATAAAATAATTTGATAATTTTTGGTTAATTTATAAAATTTATCATTTTTCAAATTATCCAAAAAATAAAAAATCAAATTTATTTTATGTTTTTATAATTTATTTTTGGTTAATTTAATAATAAATAAATAAAATTAGGAAAAAAATTTGAAATTTGTATTTTTTAAATGATTTTTAGGCTGACTAGGCAATGACATGGCGTGTTGACTAACGGTCAACGGAGTTGACCGTCCAAATTGACGGTCAAACTATGTGTCGGGCCAATTGAGTCTATATGCTGCATAGTTGAGGCCAGAATGTTAATTTCTGAAACCACGGGCCAAAGTTGATTATATGGTCATAGTTCGGGCCAAAATAAGGTATTAACCCTAAATTTAATGTGTGTTTCTTTTTTGGAGTTATGTTGGTATATGTTTTGACTTATGTGTAGTTATTGGGTGATGCTTCCAAGTTGCCGGAACAACAATCCTCCCGCTCAACAAAATCAAACATTGAGTTAGTAATAACATGCGATCATATAACATTTTGCCATAGGGTCTAATAGTGGCATGTAGTAGGTTAAATCTTCTTTCTATCGAAGTTGTTCATAAATATTCCATGGATTTGTTAAGTAATTTACAAAAACTACTCTGCTTATTTTGACTATAATATGTATCACAATCTCAATTTCATAAGCCTCGTATCAATCTTCCAACTGGCTACATATTTGATGTCGGACACCTTATATATCTATTCTCGTCAGATAAGATTATAATTGCAATTGCAATGGTTGAGCTATGAAATCCCCAATTCGAAGTTGCTACAAGAAGGGTACAAAGTTGCAACAATTTGAAACAAATAGCCGCTTATCTATGTAAATCATTTGTAATGTAATTTTCTCTGATTCCACTTGAATACCCAAAAAAAAAATTTGATGCTTGAGAAATATTTACACAGTTTTCACTTATGTTTACTCGAGTATTGAAGGATTCCTAACTTGCAAAGTTGCAACAAATGAGCATAACTTTTTTTTTAAAGACAAACTATAGTGTCGAAATCAAAACTCCAAAGTTGAAAATTTGGATTTAACTGCTAAATATTTTATCGATATTTAAACTGAAAGAGATATTGCAACATTTTCTCCTATCCTTATTAAAAAAAAAAGTAGACGGCTAACTTAATCGCACTACCTCCACAAAAATATCCACATGGATTAGAAGAAATTGAGAGGAGAAAATGTTTTTTTAAAGAAAGCCTGAAAACTTTTATTTATGGTGGCAAATTGTCATTACAATCCTTCATAAGGGTTTGAAGAATGAAAACGGGCCTATCTACCCAAATCTCTGTGTTCTTTCCACCTGCATTTTGTCCTGGCCATTTCGTGCGCAGCTCCGTTCCCTTCTCTTCCCAAAAATTGCCATCGAATCTCCCCTCTCTCCAACCTCAACTCCCGAATCTCGCTTACTGTCTACCACCCCCAACTCCGTTTCAATCTCTTCTTCCCTTTCCAATTTCTGAATTAGCGACTCTAATATGTTTTCACAAGGTTAGGTCTCCTCGCATGCACGCTGATTAACCGGAGAGGAGTAACTTATTATTATTGTTTTGTTGGACTTATTGGGGCTTAATTCCTAAGATTATCTGTGCCTACATTTACAAGGTGTGCTCAAGGTATCCAATACAGAAAGTGACTTGACTTATGATCAATAACATTAACTAGCATTGAACCCGGTATGTTGGTCGAGACAATTTTGTTTGTCATTTATATTAACATATTTATCTTTTATGTTTAAATTATTTTGTATTTTTCTAAAAGGAAATTGTTTTTTTAATCTTCTAAGCTTCTTTTATGTTTTTAACACATTCGTTAAAAATAATATTTGTGATTCGCTTGACGATCTCAATATATTGATGGACATAGGAATTTATTTTCATGATTCAGTTCTAAAATAGTAACTCATAATGTGAAGATTTATGATGCATTCATAGTCTTTTCCCGAACTATTTTTATGACTAAAATTTACAAATACTTACAAAATCTAGACATTTCGTGCGTGTATGAATTTTGGAGTATATTGTACATATATATTTCCAATGTCAAAATATTAATTTAAAGAGTTGAATTAACGATTTAGTACTATCAAAATTATTGGTAGACTACTATATTATGATTTTGATTCCTTTGAAAGTACCACCTGCGTTTACGGAGACTTCTCACTAGGGCGGCAAATGAGTCGAGCTACTCGCGAGCAACTCGACGCTCGAATCGGGAAAAACTCGTTCGAAACTCGACTCGTTTATTAACGAGCCAAGTTTGAGCTTAGCTTTGTTAAGCTCACGAAGCTTGCGAGCTAGCTCGACTCGGTGACTTGTTGAGCTCATGAGATGTCTCAACATTGTGGTTTGAGGGCCAACTTGATCACCGACTTATGGACGAGTCGATCTAATTTGGACTTTCATAATTCATAGGATTGTTAAATTATATATCTCACATCATGTGAAGTTTAACATGTAAGAAAATATGCCTTATTTT